GGTTATCCCTAAGAAAATTACATATAGCATTCTTCCGAGAACTTCCCGTTACATGAACCAACCACCCCCAGCTTCCTTCGCGAAACTGGGTCTAACATCATACTGATTTACATGACCGGGTTATCCTTAAGAATATTACATGTAAAAATTCTCCAGGAACTTCCCGTCAAGAGTGGGAAATAGTTTAGACTCATATACCTATTGGAGTATCGAGGAGCAGTTTATACTCGTATACTCTTTGGAGTGAGGGAAAATAGTTTATACTCGTGTATCCAATGGAGTTGGGGGTCATTTTTATTTGGCTTGTTTCGCCGTTATGACACCGGAGTCAATTAAGGCTTAGATTTTATTTTTGAGTCCAAAGCAAGTCTCGGTGGGATGAAGAACCCTTTTGTGGTATGCACAGTAGTTTGGATTCGTAACCCTCTTAGCTCCCTCCTGATCTTTAATAGGTGGTAGCTCAATCTTGTCGTTAGCGAGGAGGTATTTCAAGATGGCTGGAGCTTCATCATCTTCGAAAGAATACTCCTTTTGAAACCTCGGATCGGGATTCGCGTTACCAGTGATTGCAGATGTCGTCGATCGGCTTCTCTCAGCTTTCTTTCTTTTAAGAAAATGTTCAGCTTGTTCACCACGCATTTTCAAATCTTTCCAAGTTTTGGATGGTACGACCCCCAGGGCTTCCAGGACATCGATAGAGAGATTATTGTGGCATGTTTGCAGGATGAACTCCTCTGTAACAGGATCTCTGCAATTCATTGCCTTGTTACGGAAGCGCTTGACAAAATTGTCGACTGACTCTCTGTCTTTTTGCTTCTCATCCAAAAGGGTTCCGATTGACACTTCGGTGTCATCATCGAAGAAATTGCTGAGGAACAAACTTTCCATGTCATCCCAGCAATTAATGCTTCCTGGCTTGAGACGTCGGTACCAATCGAAGGCGGGCCCACGAAGGGTGCTAACGAATGACCGGACCATTAAAACCTCATTTCCAGAGATCATGCCCAAATGAGACTTGAAATAAATCAAGTGATGAGTAGGCGAGTTTTTCCCGTCAAACGGTGTGAAGTTAATCAAATTGAATTTTGCCGGGTACGGTATTGAATCCCATTCTCTTGGATAGGGATATGGAATACCCGTCTTTTTCACTTCTTGAGCCGTCATCAAAGCATTGACTTTATTTTTAAGTTCTTTCATTTTCTCGTCATCGTCTATGTCTTCATTCGAAGGACGTTGAGGAGAATGAGTTAGGCCACCCCCTGTAAGAGGTGCCATTGAACCACCCCCAATATCGTTATTAGGAGGGTGCGTTAAACCACCCGCAGCGTTATTGCTATTGGGAGGTGTATCAGTCATAATGACTTTATCTACTTCTGGATCACTATCATCTGCCACATTCTGAGTGTGGCGGCTGGATTCAGCTCGCTGACTGGACTCAGGAGGTTGAGGCCGTTGAGTTAGCAATTCTCTCATTTGTTGGATAGCTAACTCCATCTCTGTCTCCATCTCAGTCTAATTTCTTCACGTTGCTTCGTTAGAGCTTCTTGAGGAATTTGAGCAAATTGATCAGAGGTGATCGTGAGGACTTCTCTGGTTTGTCCTGTGCTAGATACCGTATCATCCGAAGCGATCGCAGAACAAGTGTCCGAAAGCTCATCCTCTGATGACATTCCTTCATGCATTCTCTTGTAGTCCCTATGTCTGATGGCTCCTAACTGGAGTCGGGACATCCGTTTGGCAATTCTTGAATTGACTTTTCCTCTCGGGGAAAAGTCAGGATTTGATTCACTTGAATACCATTTAGATTTTCCTTTATCAGCCATGTTGATGGTGACTTCAGGGAATTTGTCATCTTGGACAGCTGATCTTCTTTTGTGAAAATGTCTCGGCTTAGGCTTCGACATTTTGGTGAAAAGACTGTGGAATACCGAGGCTCTTCGTGGGATGACTTCTCGTTTTGTGTAGTTATATTCCGACAATGCTGCTTTTATAAGTCGCGCACAGGAACAATGAGAGTTTATTTCTCGAATAATTCTCTTTTGAAATCTATTCAAACCCACAGCTTGATAGTACGATTCATCGGTATGATTGCCGGAAAATCCTATCATCTGTTGGTATGACCTCCCAGGTATAACGATGTCTTTTGGCGAACACGTTTTCTTCTGGGGGTGTAAAACCTTGTTGGCATTCTCAGGACAAATTATTGTTGCCTTTGAGCGATCCAAGGTTATTTTAGGAGTCACACGTTTAGAACCACCCCTTGCGGATGTGGAGTTTTAACGGGCTTCGAATGCTGATTTTGCACAACTCCAGACTTTGGAATCCAAACTTTGCAGAGTTTTGGTGATTCTTTGGCCACCGTTTCCTTGTTTCCTTTTCGTCTTTGTTGTAAGAGAGCACGGGCATGAGCAGCGTTTGTACGACGCTTTTGTATGCGTTCTTTGAGGGTCGAGCGAGCCCTCTTGACAAAAGTCCATTCATCTGTTGTGAGTTGTGCAGAGATATGAGTGATTGGTTGTTGAGACAACTGAACCACTCGATGCCTCCTCGACTTTAGGTCCGCGTGATAACGAACCCCGTCGGTTTGTTCCAAGGCCTTAACTATTTGGCGAGCGCGGCGTTGACGTTGTCTCTGACGAGCCCTCTTCGTCAGTGCCGGTGGGCTTTGATTCAATGACTCTTTAACTAGATAAAAGTCATTGTGAGCAGAGGTGTTGCGCGTAAAATCCTTAGCAACAATCAGGCGAGAGTCTTCATTTTGTGCCTTCTTTGGCATGTAGGTCTTCCTCAATTGTGAGATCCTCTTGTACTTACGAGACAATGAAGATCTTGAAGAGGATGATGAGAGATATTCCTCAAATTTGGTTTGGTCGAATTCGTATTCGACCATGGATTCAACTGGAATCTTGATCGGCTGCGACACGACGGTCTCGGCCGCGAGACCGTTGGCTCCCACTGTGGTCGCCAGTTTGTTTTCGTCAAAAGTTGGTTTTGCTATGGAATTCATTATATCTTCGGTCGATTACAATAAATTCAAAAGAGATAGCATTTTTATAAAACTTCTTTTACACAACAAAAGGAAAATTATAACTTTTTAGAAACAAACGCAGGATCGTTGTTTGGATCGCTGCTTGCATGGGATCTTTGCCTGTGCCGGGAGCGCTTTGACTCGTGGACCATCAAATCACAGATTCTGATTGAATTGTGAGGGGTTAAGTGATTCTTCCTTCGTTTATCGAAGTGAGAATTTGAAACGAGATCTTATCAAAGTAAGATAGTCGTTTTTTTTGAGATCAAGTCAAAGCTCGAATCTCAAGGAATTGCCAGAAGCTCAGAAACTCTGCTCTCTCTGCTCCGAAGTGCTCAAAAATGATCAGCCCCCCTCAAAAATGGCCTTCGGGGGGTATTTATAACCTCCAGGACAAAATCTGCTTCCGAGACAGTGTTTGCTGTCTCGGCGGGCGGGACAGCAAAGACTGTCTCGGGTTCCGAGACAGTAAATACTGTCTCGGAAATCCTCAACCGCCCAGCAGTTTTCTTGTAACTGCCTTCCCATGTTTTACAACTCCGTTATTTTGGCAGTTATCAACGTGATTCTCGCCCACAACGTTCCCCACGTTCTTGAACAGTTGGTGGCCACGTGTCGGCGGTTACAAAACAGTTTTTGCCAAACAATAAACACTGTCTCGCACGGTGAGACAGTAAACACTGTCTCGCCTGCGAGATAGTAAACACTGTCTCGCACGGCGAGACAGTAAACACTGTCTCGCGTGCCGAGACAGTCTACACTGTTTTTTGTGTTCTTTTGTTCTTTAGATGATCTCCTCTTGAGCTACATTTGGATATCTTTCAGTATTTTTTGACGCCTACACATGGGAGACCTCAAATTACGAAATCGACCCATCACACCTCTCTCTGATTAGGATATCACCCTCACTGTTGTTTGGTATGACTAAAATGCCCTTCGTTAAGAATCGGATAGGTTCGAGACGCATATTTTGGCTGTTTGATTTGTGTTATACTATAATTTGTTACATGTTATGTTGGCTTTATTTTGTTACGAAGAGGTTTTTTTTTATCATGACCCAAATTGAGCATAAATTCTTCAATAAAGTGAATTAGTAAGGTTCATAAAGGAATTGAGTTATGCAAAAGAATTTATATAATTGATAGATGAAGTGATGAAAAGACACATCATTAGCCTCTGAGAATTAAATTATTCTTTTAAAAGATCTTCTTAGGCAAAGTAACAATTTCTCTACCAAAATGCTCATTTTGTAAATTTATACTTGTTGGGTTAAGAGTGGGAACTTATAAGAGAATATTTTGATTCAATAAAAAGTTATAAAAGTAATTCTGAAATTGGATTAGACAAAGAGATATAAACTTACTTTATCGGAATTCTCGTGAAGTACTTAAAAAATCTATGTGATTTGATATACACAATTAGTCGCACTTGCTAAGTTATGCCGCATATTATTAAAAAAAAAACAAAACAAAGTAACTTATGTACCAATATATTATGTTGTTTTTTAAACTCAGGGGATCAATCAAAAATTTATCTGAATAATCATAAAATATATATCCGTTTTTATATGAGATAGATCCAATGACTTCTAATTACCTCTGTTCAAAATGAGTATTAATTTACTTAATAATTCAAATATAGAATTAAAGTTCAATTTTTGAGTGATATCTTCCAAATTTTCTATTTAAACAAATATGGTGGAGATTGGAGACCTGTTACCAAAAGGGAAGAAGTAATTGTATCCCTCGCTCGCTCGAATATGATTATTCCAACAACTTGGATTGGGGTGGCATTTTTGTCATATTAAAAAAAAAGCAACACGAAAGCAAGTAAGTATCCCATTCTCACTTATACCCCATCAAAGTAGTAAATAAAATAAATGCAGCTTTCAAAGTACTATAAAACCCCAGGGACAGTTTAGTCATTTCGCACCAAGTACAGTAGGGAATTGGTTGGAGGGAGGAAGAAGGAAAAAGTGAAGAGGTGTAAGCTATATTTTTTTAGCCCCTCTCCCTTCGTTCTCCCTCTCTCTCTCTCTCTCTCTCTCCCCCCACTCTGATCAGCAATGTTCCCAGCCCTAAAGATACTTCAATTGGTTTGTCAAGGTAAATTTATTTCTCTCAGTTTCTATCTCTGTCGTTTTTTCTTGATTCATATGTAAATGGGTAAGTTTAGATCTCTGATTTAGCAATTAAATTGGTTTTTTTTTCTGGAAATGGAAATGTGGGTCTTTGTTATCTCGGCGATTTGGGATCTGGGGAGGTAAAAAGAGGTGATCTTTAAAGGTTTAGACTTGGTTGCTGATGTTTTGATGTTTATTAGATTTAGATAGATTAGGAATTGAAACGTAAGTTTGTGGATCTGGGTTCTCTGCTACATGATTTAAATCTGTGAGAAATATTTGAAGATTTGTGGAGTTATGATCTGGCTAGTGTTTGATGCTTGGGGAACTGGAAGATGCCGTAGTTTACTGTAGAGATCTGGTTTTAGTACACAGGTTCAATGTGCTAGAAATGCAGTGAAGAGGTTAGCTCTTTAATTTTTCTTTATTTTTTTCAAAAATATGTGTGGGTGGGATCAGTGTGATCCATCCCAAAGATCATTGTGAGAAAGGGAAAAGTTTTTATTTGATATTAATGATTTGTTATTTTCCACTCTGTTTGATTTTTGCTGACATAGAAGCTACTTTAAGTTGACTTCATTCTTGGTGATCAGTGTCTTGTCCTTTTGGTGGAGTTGGTACAGATCTTACTCATATGTATCCAAATTTGAATGATAGAACTGAAAATATAGGTCTGAGTTGTCCAAATCTTTTATATGGTTTAAGGGGTGTTTTGATACTGCATTTCTTGATCCTTATTAGGAAAACACAGAAGTCTACTTGGTGTTGCCCAATCGTTCTCAAGCAACAAATGAACTGGTACGTCAAGAGTGCCCTTGATTATTGATGTGGATAGATCTGACTTTAGTTGAACGGTAAGGTTGGATGGTCTTATGATTGCCATTTTGGAGCGCTGAGCTATTTGATACCTTGAAAAGCCAAGTTGACCAATGTCTTAGACTGCTTATCAGGTTGAGGTGCCATAGGTTTCATCAGTTATACTCGTCTTGTTAAACCAGCACCCCATAATCCGCAATCATATACTTAGATTATGGTTTAGCGCACATAACATGAAATGATTATACGTGAATGGACTAATGGGGTAAGCATAGAATGTTTTAGTTCTATGTTAAACATAGGTATAGTTCTATGTATGTTCTAATTGAGAATTTATAGCCTGTATTTTTCTTTTAAGCATCGACACTCATCTGGTAGCAACCAGCCACCACTTCCCATTTTCCATATTTCTCTAGCTGGTCCCTCCTTCCTCAAAATTTGAGCCTTTTTTCGTCGAGTTCTCCTCCCTTACCCCTTCCTCTCAAGCTGATCTCGATGAATTTATCCATTATCTGTTAGTTATCTTTAGGATGTTACAATTATCAGATTTTCAAGGTTACACCATTTTATTTGAAAGCGTGCCTACATGATGTCTTGTTCTAATAAATGAAGGACAGCATGTGGTATTGCTAGTGGTGGGAGGAAGCTCTTTATGGTGATCTCGTTTGCATGTACTTTTGCGATATGCTTCCTATATTTTTGGAAGTTGATAGCCATTCAGTAGTGTAAACAAGATGCTATACTCTAACCTGTACAATTCCTTTGAATGACTGGTTCGGGAGATTCCTTTTATTTGGTGACTTAGTTCTGTTTAATATAGAGAGCCATCAAATTAGTAGTTACATGTGATTAAAAGGATGGAGTTAAATTCACCAGCTTATGAGTTAGACAGCTCATGTAAATTTATATTTGGGTTCTTGAGATTGAGATCCCCAAATCTCATCTATTTGGATACAAGTCCCCCAAATCGTCATATTTGGATACAAGACCCCCATATCTCGCCTATTTGGATACGAGTTTCTTGAATATTGTTTGCTAGGATACAAGTCCCCTGGATTTCGTCTATTTGGATACAAGTCCCTTGAAACTATTAAGTTTTTGAAATAAGTCCTCCATCCACTTAATCCATTTTATAATCTAAAAGAAATTGGCTATTGATTTCCTTTTTTCATTTTTGCCTTGTACATATCCTCTTGCTAAGGTAAGGAATCCAATGTATCCTTTGAACCCATTGAAAACCGGCTTTATCTTGCTAATGTTTTGAAAGTCCCTCCAATTTAAAGTCCCTAACAACCCATTTACTTTAGTTGGGTTAAGTGGATGGGAATTAACATTTTTTTTTTTTTTGGGGGGGGGGGCTTTTTTTATGGTTTTGAGAATTGTATTCAAATATGATGATTTGGGAGACTTGTATCCAAATAGGCGAGATTCATGGAATTTGTATCTAAAATACGATGATTTGGGGGGATTTGTTACCAATACATGAGATGTTCAGGTCTATAGGACATCCTCTGTCTTTTCTCTAAGCTGTTAATCTGGCGGTAGTTTGATCATTGTTAGCTTCTGGGTACACATGCCACATTTGTGTTGTGCATAACGGAAATTTCGTCAGCACCTCTGGTGCACAACAAGAGAGTAGATCTCAACTAAATCCCTGTTTCACAAAGGAAACAAGAACCGAAAATAATATATCTCAACAAAGTGGGATATACCCTCTCATCAGTTCTAGGACTGACTTGTCGAGAGAACCTACAAGGTATTACAAATCACAGCAAGACAAACTATTTTACGTGGTTCGGCAAGTTGCCTACGTCCACGGGACAAGGAGGGGAGAGATCTACTATTAGAGGTAGAGAATATAAGTAGGGTGTACAATCTTTCAACCTAAACCCTCAAACAATCTCTCAAATCTCTCACAATCTCTCTCAAAAGAGCTAAAGGAGTCTCTGATTTTCCTGTTGCACGCAGCCCAAGAAAACCCTCTGCCTTTGCACAGCCGAAAAAAAGATTTGTCGTTTTTGTATGTCGCCTTTTCTCTCTACACCAAGCCTTTGCACACACTGCACAAAATCTTATGCAGCTATATTTATAGCTAGTCAAATCGGGTGGGCTTCTTCTTTTATCCGCTGAACAACACGAGAAAACAGCGGATCAAGTCTCTTCACGCGGAACTTCTTAGCCTTTCACGCGTTCACTTTTGCTGGTTCTTAGCTCTTCACATGAATTGTGGTTGGCTTCGATTAGTCCAGGAAATAAAACATTGTTTCCCTCTATCTTTTCGCGAGTTAAAAAACGTGTCTCTGGATCTATCATGAGACACATCCAAGTGTGACCCCCACTTGCCTTTCTCTCATAATTTGAGGGCATCGATTACAACGAGATATTTTCACCCGTTGTGAAGCATTCGTCGATTCGGATTTTATTGGCGTTGGTGGCACAGTTGGATTTGGATTTGGTCCAGATGGATGTGAAGACAGTCTTTCTATACGGAGATTTAGATGAGGAAATCCACATGACAATCCTTGGGATTCAAAGCTGTAGGAAAAGAAGATTTGATTTGCAAGCTAAAAAAGTCTTTTTATGGATTGAAGCAATCATCGCGACAGTAGTACAAGAGATTCGACAGCTTCATGATTGGCCAGGGGTACATGAGGAGCCCATATGACCCATGTGTTTACATACACAAGCTACAGGATGGTGAGCACATATATTTGCTTTTATATGTTGACGATATGCTTATTGCTTTCAGGAATTCTTCGGCTATTCGAAAGTTGAAAGAGGAGCTGTCATCTGAGTTCGAGATGAATAATCTTAGAGAAGCAAAAAAATATTGGGTATGGAGATTGAGAGAGACATGGTGAAGGGGAGATTAAAGCTTACACAGAAGAGTTATTTGTAGAAGATGTTGAAAAAATTCAGCTTTGATGGCAATGCAAAAGCAGTTAGCACTTCATTGGCTCTCCACTTCAAGCTTTCAGCTAGTCTGTCGTCTGTTTCAGTTGAGGACAGAGATTATATGTCGAAGGTCCCATATGCCAGTGCAGTATGTAGCTTGATGTATGCGATGATGTGTACGAGGTCAGATTTGTCACATGCCGTGAGCATGATATCGAGGTACATGCACGATCCCGGGAAGGGTCATTGGGAGTCTGTGAAGTGGATTCTACTGTATGTTAAAGGCACCGTGGATGTTGGATTGATTTTTCAGAAGGATGGGAAGAATGGGCAGGATTGTATTGGTTACGCGGATTCAGATTATGCTGGAGATCTTGACAAGCGTCGGTCTACTTCAGGATATGTGTTTATATTGGCAGGAGCACCAGTATGTTGGAAATGTACACTTCAGTCTATAGTGGTTCTCTCTACTACAGAGGCGGAGTATATGGCGGTGACTGAAGCTGTTAAGGAGGTTTTGTGGCTGCGTGGATTATTGGAGAACTTGGGGATTACACAAGAGATCTTTCGGGTATATTGTGATAGCATGTCAGCTATCTATTTGGCGAAGAACCAGGTTTATCATACGCGCACGAAGCACATCGATGTCAGATTTTACTTTGTTCGTGACGTTTTGGATAATGAAGACGTCATATTGGAGAAGGTCCACACGAAAGATAACACTGCAGATATGTTGATCAAAGTTATTTCAGGTGTGAAGTTTGGTCATTTGGAGTTTTTGAACATTCTTTGGTGTTGAGGCCTTTGGAGGCCCTTTGGGTGAATACGTGAGGCTTGATTCCTTAGGCAAAAGGATACATATGCAGTCTTTATGATGCAGCCGATTTGATGAGTTGGTACTGACATTTGGAGAGTGTTCGCATTCTTATTTGGGTTCTCGACTTGTTGTAGATTGAGTCCGTTATCGTGAATTATTTCACTTCGTACTAAACGCAACAAGTGAGACATTTGGTTTGGTTGGTATCGGCTCAGTTTTGGGAAAACTTCACTGAGATGAAGAATTGTGAGGGGAGAAAGGCAAGTGGGGGTCACACTTGGATGTGTCTCATGACAGATCCAGAGACGCGTTTTCCAACTCGTGAAAAGATAAGGGGAAACAATGTTTTGTTTCCTGGACAAATTGAAACCAACCACAATTCATGTGAAGAGCTAAAAACCAGCAAAAGTGAACGTGTGAAAGGCTAAGAAGTTTCGCGTGAAGAGACTTGATCTACTGTTTTCTCATGTTGTTCAGCGGACAAAAGAAGAAGCCCACCCGATTTGACTAGCTATAAATATAGCTATATAGGGTTTCGTGCAGTGTGTGCAAAGGCTTGGTGCAGAGAGAAAAGACGGCACACAAAAACGACAGATCTCTTTTTTGGCTGTGCAAAGGCAGAGGATTTTCTTGGGCTTCGTGCAACAGGAAAATCAGAGGCTCATTTGGCTCTTTTGAAAGAGATTGTGAGGGATTTGAGAGATTGTTTAAGGGTTTAGGTTATGAGATTGTATACCTTAGTTGTATTCTCTCCCTCTAATAGTAGATCTCCCCCCTCCTTGCCCTGTGGACGTAGGCAACTTGCCGAACCATGTAAAATAGTTTGTCTTGCTGTGATTTGTAATAGCTTGTAGGTTCCCTCGACAAGTCAGTCCTAGAACTGATGAGAGGAAGAGTGTATATCCCACTTTGTTAAGATTTCGGTTCTTGTTTCCTTTGTGAAACAGGGATTTAGTTGAGATCTACTCTCTTGTTGTGCACCAGAGATGCTGATGAAATTTTCGCTGCGCACAACAATCTGAAATTGGTTGAAGCTGTCACCGTTATCCTTTCTCAAGCATGAGTATTACACTACCATTTTACTGTGATTCTAAATAAGAAAGTGAATTTCTGATGTTACCAATGAGAGCATAATTTGCTCTCAGTTTATGGTAAACTTTAGCGTTGGCAGAATTTGCTCTCAGTTTGCGCTAAACCTTAAAGTGGCTATGTGCAGAAGAACTGTTTCGTTGGCCTGTGGCATAAATGTTTGTTTCTTGTGCCATTTTCCAGATTCTTAACTTGGCCCTTTAAATCCTTATTGACTTGGTTAAAGCTTCATATCTATGCCTTTTTGCCTTTTTTTCATTAGATATAGTTCTGTGCTTTTTCTTTTAGCTGTGGGGTTGCTGAAAATCTTACTTTTGGTGCTTCATTTAATCAGTACTAGTGAGTGTTAGGAATGCATTTGTAGTTTGCATAAACAGGTAATTTTCTTCTGTTCATTTCGCTCAGATTTTCATGGCAATGAGTGTTAGGATTAATTCTTAACATTAGTTTTGCACTGCATAACCCTTATCAACTGGAATTGGATATAAGTTCTCAAATTTCTTTTTATTGTTGTATTCAGATGCTATTTTGCTGTAGCATGTGGTTTATGATAGCTAATCCATATTGATATCCTTTGGTCTGATATTCTTCTTCTACTGCATTCATAGCAACAATTTCACTTAGGATTTGTTTTTGCTCTCTCTTTTAGTTTCTTGTCCTTCAATAGCGCTAAGTTTTTCTGTTGTTGCCGCTTCTTCAGATATATCAGGATGATGATGATGGACTGTTGTACTTTGTTTTGATCATTGTGCACATAACTAGACCACTGTATTATTTGGGATCATAAGTAGCATAAACTAGCGGACCATTTAAACCAAGTTCAATGGGCTCCAGATTTCCATCTCATCAGCTTAGCAATGGCCTCTATGTCTCTGGCCGGCCTGAGCAGGCAAAGGAAAAGCTGCCGACTATGACTTCTGTGGCGATGCCTTACACTGGTGGAGATATCAAAAAATCTGGGGAACTTGGAAAGATGTTTGATGTGCATGCAGAGATATCCAAGTCAAGGAAATCGGGACCCCTTAATGCTCCCTCCCGAACTGGATCATTTACAGCTGGCACAGCACACTCGGGACAAATGCCAAATCCCAGCAGCCGGTCTACACATTTCTCGGGTCCCGTTCCATCAGGTTCTGCTTCATCCATGGTTACCGGAGGATCAAAACGGACCAATTCTGGACCTCTAAATAGGCAAGGGGAATCAATTAAGAGGTCATCTGGCCCTCAGTCTGGTAGTATTCCGATGGCTCGGCAGAATTCAGGTCCCATTCCAATGATCCCGGCTACTGGCCTCATTACATCTGGCCCTATTTCTTCTGGTCCACTTAATTCTGCTGGTGCCCCTCGTAAAGTTTCTGGTTCTCTTGATTCTACTGGTTCTCTCAAGCTACATAGCCTCTCTATTGCACATAACCAAGCGGTCACGAACCTAAGCCAGGAGGAGGAGTATTCATTTAAGAAGAGCTTTCCCAAGGCAATACTTTGGTCCGTGATTCTTCTATTTGTTATGGGTTTCATTGCTGGTGGGTTTATTCTCGGAGCTGTTCACAATGCCATCCTTCTCATTGTTGTCGTGGTTATTTTTGGTGCTGTTGCCGCACTTTTTACTTGGAATTCTTGCTGGGGTAGGAAAGCCATAGTTAATTTTATCAGCCGGTATCCTGATGCTGAGCTTAGAACTGCTAAAAACGGCCAATATGTTAAAGTATCTGGGGTATGTGGAGCATCTTGTTCATGCTGTAGATCCCTTTACAAATGCTTGCTCTTTACTCCTGAATATTAGGCTATTAATGATCATTTTCGAGTCTCTGTTACCAGGAAAATAGAGTTCCATGATATATTTAAAATTTCTTGCAGGTAGTCACATGTGGAAATGTTCCTCTTGAATCATCATACCAGAAGGTTCCAAGATGTGTGTACACTTCTACAAGTTTATATGAATACAGGGGATGGGATTCAAAGGCCGCAAATTCCCAACATCGCCGCTTTACTTGGGGTCTGAGATCAGTGGAGGTTAGCATATTGATATTCACGTTCTACTTATTTAATATTCACCTTAATGAAGGTTAACATAGCCACTTTGATATTGCAAGTGAAATTCTTGATGCAATAATTTGACTTTGATCTATTTTATTCTGGAGCTACAAGCCTACACCTCTTGTTAACCTTCATTAAGCAAAAAAAGGGGAAAAAAGGAGGAAGGACCTCTGTCTCTGGTTTTCTTAGTGCATAATCTATTCATACATGATAGACATCGCTCTGGGAATAATTTAGTCCGTGAGGTTGATAACTAATGCAAATCTTCTTTGTTCATAATTATAAAATTTATGAACTTGTAATTGCATTAGCCAAATTTTTTGTACATACCATCTTACAATATGAAAATTGTGCAGAGTTGCTCTTGCGTCAATAAATTCTGATGCCGCATTCCCCTTATCTTTGTTGCATGTATTTGTAACTTCCCATGAATTCCTGCAGAGGCATGTTGTGGACTTCTATATCTCCGATTTTCAGTCTGGTTTACGAGCACTGGTAAAAACCGGTTATGGAGCAAGAGTAACCCCATATGTCGATGATTCCACTGTCATTGATATCAACCCGAATAACAAGGATTTGTCTCCCCAATTTCTCAGGTGGTTGGGGGAGAGGAACCTTTCAAGTGATGGGCGTGTCATGCGCCTCAAAGAAGGGTAATCTCATCCTGACATTTGTTGCAAAGTATCTATTTGCAGAGATTAGATCCAATTCCCTTTTTTATTCAGTGTTAAATTGAATTTTGTGTTTTGGGGATATTAGAATGTGAGACGTAATCAATTGAGGTGGTTTGATCATATGCAATGGAGGGTATTAAATGCACAAGCGAGGGAAGTAATGAGCTTTTATAATTAAAAGGGGCAAAGAGGACAAGAGGTGGACCTAAAAGAACGTGGTTTGTAGCATTTAATAAGAACATGATAATAAGGCTATCTAATAGAGCTAAATGGCGGAATAGGATTCCTATAGCCGATCCCAATAAAACTAGTTACTCGTTCAATTTAACTCAAATCCTAAGCTTTATATGCAAGTTACTTTGACCCATACAAATCTTTTTTCTTCCTTCCCAAAGTGTCAATATTTGTAGCTTTTTGAATTTGGTTTTCATTTATTTCTTTGCCCTCATCTGCACCATACTCCTTTTTCATCAAGATGATAACCTTGGAGAATTATTCTTTTAGTGGCAAATGCTCTATGGGAGGATTTAATGGAAACGCTCTTTAGGTTGTATTTCTTGTATAGTTTGCATGGGAGCTCTAGGTATTCTTCTGATTACCACTTGTTCATTGTCTTCTGCTCTCAGATACATCAAAGAAGGCAGCACTGTGAGTGTCATGGGCGTTGTCCAAAGAAATGACAACGTTCTGATGATCGTTCCTCCATCTGAGCCGTTGTCCGCTGGTTGCCAGTGGTCCAACTGCATACTTCCAGTGAGCCTCGAGGGTATCGTCCTCAGGTGCGAAGATACTTCGAAGATCGATGTTATACCAGTATAAATGTTGGCTGTTGTTTCTGCTGATGAAGGAGATGATTTTTGTATAATGGGTTTGAGATCTGAGAAGTGTTGCTTTTTTTCTTTGTTTGGTTGTATAGCTTCCTTTTTTTGGTTAATTCTTCCTATTTTTAGCTAGGCTTGAAAGCTTTTGTATTTTTAACTAAGGTGTGTTAATGAGTACTGTAAAGAGCATCCTTGATATTGCTTTGATGAGGTGGAATGTGGAATATGGTATTCTATTGAAAAGCTCAATAGTGTTCTTTTATTCTTTCATCTTCGCTGTCAACTTTGTGAGCATGTATGTAACCAGAGTTGATTGAATAATTAGTAGAACAGTTTGGTTTTCATTTGCTTAGATGCTCCTGCAATGCAATTCAACTGCTTATCTAAGCAAAATTAAGAATGTTTTAGTGTTCCTTTATGGCTCTAATAAAATATGAATATTCACATATCTATATGTTTGATTGTCAAATATTTGTAAACTTGTGTTTAAATATAAATAATTTTCGTTTGAAGTTTTTAGATTGTGATGTTGATAAATACTAATCAAGATTTTGCAACTGTATCATTTTTTTCAATAACTCAACTATATGAATTTTGAATAGTTAAAAGAATCAAACTTTTAGTTTTTTTTTTAAATCAGAATCAAACCTTTTAAAAAAATTTGGAAATGTAAGAATTTTGCAGCGTAAAAAGTAAATGAATTTTTAAATCAATTATTCACAAACTATATGAATTAAATCACATAGAAAGAAATTTGTCAAATTTGAAGACCATTTTGAGTATGGATTTGCATTTGGAAGTGGTAGATGTATACAAATATACATACCAATGGATTCCATTCGGTTAGTCCTACGTATAAATAGAAAATTAGAAAAACATAAAAAAGAATTATATTGTATTCTAACAGTATAAGAAAGTATTTTTTCCATACTAATTTCTTTACATCTTTAATATTTTAAATTAGTCATTCAAATCATTGAAATTGCTATTAGATCCCCTAACTCGTATATCACTCTTAATTGGAAGAATTAATTTGAAATAATTTATAAGAACTAGCTGACGTAATAGTAATACCAATGACTCAAAGAAACTAATTATGAGGCAACTTAAAAGAATCGCGGGACATAAATGGCAGTGACAATGATATGACGTACCAATGTCAAAATATCAAAGACGTAATGGACCCATGTAGAAAAAGGCCTATAAGAATATATCCAAAAAAACCCTCGTCAAATTTCCGTTACAGAATAGACACTTCTCAAAGAATAAAAACTTACACGATCCCACTGTAGTACAAGCATCATCGAGTATCTTATCTAGATTCATTGAAGGCCACAAAGCCATCAAACTACAAAAATTTTCCCTCTTCTTTCAAATCCCATAAAATTTTCTCCCTCTTTCTCCTCTCGACTCTCAACAGCCTCTCTCTCTCTCTCTCTGTTCTCTGAAACCCAACCAACTCGACGAACAATGCCCGCATTGAACCTCAGCGTCAATGTCCCAGTGGACCCTGTGGTCGCTTCTGACATCCTCAAAGACGCCACCAAGATCTTAGCCAAAACCATTGGCAAGCCTGAATCTGTGAGTTTCATTGATTTCCTCTCTCTTTGCTTTCTGGGTTTCTTTCTATTTGTTGTTTAGTTCGGTGTATGACGTCAGGTGTTTGATGAAATTACTCTGTGAAAGCTCCTGGCTGCTTAATTGGTTGGTCTGTTTCCTTTATATTGATGCTCATTTTTCTTAATACCCAAGTGCAGCACTGTTGACATGAAACTCTATTTCTTGCATCCTTCAGCCATTGGGCTCGGCATTGGTGACATGAAAAAAATTTTTTTTGCCCAAAAGTTATTTTATTATTTCTGTAGTAGTTTAGTACTGAAATGAGCTTAGCTTTGTCAAATATCATTTCCTTCTATTCTTTCGGGTTTTGTGGTTGTTGAAGATTGGCCTGTATATTTTAATTCTGCGTTGATGATTTTTTTTTTTGTTATTATAGCATGAGAGTCTCACCATTCATGTTATTTGGCTGATGTAAACCTGTATCTAAATAAAAGACAAGTAAAAATACATGCATGTTTAAAAAAACTGTTCTATAGATGTTTCTACATTTTTTATATTGTTTTCTAAGAAGAAGTTTGTCAATATGAAAAGTGATTATCACTTGTTAATGTCACCTTCATAAAGAAAGTAACTGTATATAAGATATGACATATACATAGCATATTTTACATCCTTCCTGAACTGAATTTCTTTGAACAAAAATTCACAAGTAGTCCAATTTTAGATGTTTCCCTTATGTTTAACTTTTCTAATGCATGCATAGCTCCATATGAACCACTAACATTTTCCATTACATATTTATCATTATCACATTGTGTGGCATGAGCACAACTCCCTGTTGAGAGGGGCTCAACTTTGAGAAAGTTTATTAGTGTATATCAACCAGATTTTTTTGAACAAAACCTGACCCCCACCTATTTGACTCTTGTGTAGACTACGTGCAAATGGATTAAAAAATAGTAGAATTTATTTTAATCTTAGAATGAAACAATAAATAAACATTTGTAATTTTGAAAGTGTATTATGAGCCAAAACTTTGTGCAGGGTTCATGCGTTGGCCTGTGTTTTGCTCATAACTAAAGTACAGATGTTTATTGCTTTTCTAAGATAAAAAAAAATCTACTATTTTTTAATCCACTTGCATGTCATCTACACAAGAGTCAAAACAGGAGGGGGCTCATAAAAGCACACTAATGTCATTCAGAAGATTCATTAGTGTTCTTGAGTAAATATTCATCATGACTTGGTAAACTATTTTTCTAATTCTAAATGTTGCTTGAGAACCTTTTACATACGATGAGCATATCTCAGTTCTTCTGAAATCTATCATGATGAAGGCACTTGATGAGGCCCTTTAGTTTTTTTGAGTTGAGAAGTGCGATGGACACTAAAAAAATGTTTTATTATTATTTATTTAGGTTTACGACCCTCTATACTCTCTCTATTACAAATACAGTCTAATACAAACTACTACTATACTCTATCAAAGCATCTCTCTCTTTCTCACTTTCTCTCTTTATTTTTCTCTCTTATTTTGCTCTCTAACTTGGGATGCATTACAAAGTGAAGTGAGTGAGTTATTTGTAGACCTAAGTTCATGTTGGTGAATATTATTGGTGATTAGTAATTACTATTATGATGGTGACTGAGGTAGGTGAGGGTAGGTGGGCTATTGACTTCAACACTTCCCCTTTGCAGCGACTTGTCTATCCACAAATCCAAACAGACTTCGAAATTCTACAACTTTGAATACCTCGGTGCTTTGGTGATTATATCACCTACTTGTTCGTTCGTCTTGATCAGCTTCATTACGATTTTCTCCTGAAGAACTCTCTTGTAGAAAGTGATGATGTGCTTCGATATGCTTTGTTCTAGCATGAAAAACTAGATTCTCGGCCAATTGAATTACAGACTGATTATCACAATGTAAAGCTACCGAGTAGTCTGTGGACTGATGTAGATCACTCATTAACTAAAAAAGTCATGAAGAAGAACGATGCTCGACTCCAGCTCCTTGAGAATCAGTTGATGACTGATGACCTTGTAGTAGAAGATTTGACAATCAGTCAGTACCTCAAGCATATAAAAACATTATGTTCATATATTGCTCAGGTAGATCTAGATTCTAGAGTGTCGAATGCAAGGATGAGAAGAATAATCATCCACCGTTTGAGGCCAGACTACCACGAGTGTCACTATCAATTGTATCTTTGTGTAGCAAAAGATAGTTAACGGTGTCATTGTCAACATCAGAGGCAGAGTACAGATTAGCAGCAATTACGTCTCGGGAAAGCACGTGGCTTTTTTAGTTAATGAAGGATCTATATTAGTCCACAAACTACTTAGTAGCTTTACATTGTAATAATTATTTGTAATTCGATTGGCAGAGAATCCAATTTTTCATGCTAAGATGAAGCATATTGAAGTACATCATCACTTTCTATGAGAGAAAGTTCTTTAGGAGGAGATCGTAATGAAGCTGATTGGGATGAAATGACAAATAGTTGATATATTCACTAAAGTACTAAGTTCTTTAAAGTTTTAGAATTTTTAAGTCAGCTTGAACTTGTGGATAGAGAAGTCACTAGTGAGGGGGAGTGTTAAAGTTTCCAGCTCACCTAACTCAGCCACCGTCATAATATTAATTACCTACCACCAATAGTATTCACCAACCACGAACTTAGGCCTATAAATAACTCCCTCACTTCACCTTCTAATGCATCCCAAGCCAGAAAGCAAAATAAGAGAAAAATAAAGTGAGAAAGATAGAGAAAGAGGTTTGTGATAGAGTATAGTAGTGTTGTAGTAGTCTGTATTAGAGTGTGTTTGTAGTTGAGAGACTACAGAAGGTTGTACTACTAAAATAATAATAATAAAATATTTCTTAGTGCATCCCATTCTTCTTCATCGTCTTGATATATGTGTGATGTTGCAACATTGCCTTCTACTGGTCTTCTTTTGTAGCGGCAATCTCTGATGAAGTGGCATGTCTTCTGGTAATTGTAGCAGCTACAGTCTCGCCTTGCTTGGCGATGATCTTGCTTTGTTGTGATTTTTTGGTGCATGGTCTTCTTGGCTACCTCTTTGAGCTAGCCTTCCCATACTGTTTTTTCTTACGCTTTTTGTTTGTTCTCTTTCATTGCTATTGAATAGTGTTTCGTCTTCAACTTTTATTCAAACGCCATCTATTTGTTTGGCTAGGGCCTCCTGTGTAGCGAGCAAGCTCTCCAACTCCAATAGTGTTGATTGAGTTGGTCAGCCGTGTGTAGTCATAACAAGCCCGTGGTACTCTGGTCTCAAACCATTAATGATTATTCTTCTCATCCTTACATCCGACACTCTAGAATTTGAAGTACTGACTAATTGTCAGATCCTTCTATTGAAAGGTCATCAACTGATTCTTAAGGAGCTAGAGTTGGGCATCGTTCTTCTTCGAGAAGAGTGGCGAGCATATCCTATGCCTCATTCGAAGTTTTGGCATCTCGCATATAGTCTACTACATCTTCTACCGTTGTCTTCAGCACGTACATGACTTTACTAGCCTTTATATTCTATTTTCTTAGCCTTTCACCTATTTCTTAAGGTGTTGAGGTTTCGGCACCACCGACGACCTCCCAGAGGTCCTATCCTTGCAAATAGGACTTCGAACAGGTCTCCCAACAACTATTGTTGTTCTCGTTGAGTTTTTTAAATGTAGCGGTAGTGTTTGTCAAATCCGTCATCATGACAGGGTACTGCTTTAGTATTTCCACGTAAGGTTGGTCCTCGACCAATCAACTTCATGGTCCTAAACTGAGCATGAACTTCGGTCTTCACAAACGCCTGTTGGATCGCGTAGGAGAGAGCTGGTCCCTGATCGTCTACTGCGTTACTACTTGTTGAGTTGAAAGTGTAGTGGACACTAAGATATATTTTGTTATTATTTCTTTAGTAGTATTCTCTCTACTACAAACACTCTAATACAAACTAATACAATACTACTATACTCTCTCTCTGTTTTTCTCTCTGGCTTGGGATGCATTACAAAGTGAAATGACAGATATATTTATGGGCCTAAGTTCATGGTTTGTGGGTACTATTGGTGGTAGGTAATTACAATTGTGATGGTGGCTGAGATAGGTAGGGGTAGATGAGCTGTTGACTTCAACAGGTTTGTGTTGATAACATTGCCATGGACAAATTTAGTACTGATGCTGCAATTAGAAAATCTTTGACATTTTCCCTCTTTGTCTTGATAGCTTCTTAGCATTTCCCATCCACTAACTCTTAACTACAGTCTACACGAGAATCATCCCTTCAAAGATCCACATCCTCTCTTTCAATCGTGAAATAGCGTGCAAATGCACGCACAAATATATGTCTTCATTACGATCAGATATGACTCCAATATTTGTACTGACATTCTTTATATTTTTATTTACTCTTTGTTGGTAATGCAGTATGTGATGATAGTTCTAAATAATGGAGTGCCTATAGCATTTGCTGGAAGTGAAGAACCAGCTGCATATGGAGAAGTTATATCCATTGGTGGACTTGGCCCCGGCGTGAATGGGAAGTTAAGCTCTGCTCTTGCAGATCTCCTCCAAACCAAGCTCTCTATTAATAGTTCCAGGTTCTATATCAAGTTCTGTGACGTTGAGGTAAGCAAGTAACTTGTAGTTTGAGGTTATCTTGTTTGTCTTTCTATTTCGTATTGAACCTGCTATTATGTTGGTGTTCTTCAATGAAGACGTTAAAACCTAAAAACAACCATAGTTAATGAACATTCTAATAAACAAGCGAATTGAATATTCCCTAAACTGTGGGAACAATCATAGTTCATGAATAGTTACTTCGTTAAAATGTTTATTGTGCTTGTTTACTTGTTATAAGGTAAGCTTTTGTCTGATACTAGCATATTAGTTCGTGCAAATGCACGTGCCAGTAACATTAATTCTTTATCTAAACAATCTTTGGTCCTACATTTTAATTTTATTATTATTATTATTATTATTATCATTTAATGTGTATTTACTGTATTTCTAGTAAAATACGCAGGTGCATAATTCACGTGATCAAATTAATAAGAACTTTTTTATCATTCACTGTTGTTTCGTGAGGATATATTAATTTTAGGTTGAAGTAACAACTACTATTCCGGATAAGAAAATTCATCCAATCTTAATCATTTTATTACCATAATTATGAAAAATATAATTTTTTAGTTCTTAAAATATTATTTTAATTCTGTATGATATACACGTTAAATAAGACTTATTTAAAATATGTCATTATCTTAGTTTACATTGTGTTGCATTTTTAGTTTTGTCAATTATATAATTTATAAAAGGTTATGTATGAAATTGTAAATTTAAGAAAAAGATGGTGGAATGAAAATAATAGAACCTTCCATAGAGAGAGAGCGCGTGAGGGGATGCATTTAGTGAGAGAAGAAATGGACAAAATGTATACTCAATTCAAAATTACTAATTTGCCCAACACAAAGCATTAACTTCTCTAAAAACTTAATTAATGATTGAGGAATTTTCAATCATTCCTACACTTTTGCCTACCCTCACATATTTTTTGAGAGTAGTATAGATTATTCACCCTGTTCTTTTTGGCTTGTGTCCGACTCAACCTTTTGAAGAGCGGGTGAGTTTGGCTATTTTTGTGCTGGGTTCCAGACTAAGATGTAGGTTTTTTTTATATATATTTTTATATCAGTCACTTAAATCATTAGAATTTCTATTAGTTTCCTCATTCTTGTATCTTGCCTCTGGTTCTCTTGATTGGAGGGATAATTTGAAACAACATATGAGAAATGGGAAACCAGATAGCAATTTAAATGATTTGAGAGACTAGTTTTCGGACAAGTATAAGAATTAAGATTCCTAATAGCAATTTCGATGATTTGAAGGACTAATTTCAAGGAATTAAATCTTTAAGGGACCGATACGAAATGAACTTTACTGTTATGATGGAAGGGTTCAACTATAAAGTAGTTGAAATGACTTCTTCATAGTTTCAATTTTGCTCTCCCTTATTTATGAAACATTCTCTGTTATAGCTTATTTTAGTATAAATTGTGAAATACTGCAGAGCTAACTGCTCTTTGAAGTGAGACAGAGCCATTCATCAACTCACATTAGAAAAAATAAAATGGATATCCTTTTATGTTCGAACTGATCTCACATCATAATTTTCTCTTCATACAGCGCTCGTTCTTCGGCTTCAATGGTTCAACATTCTGAGCTACCGATCTAGCTATTCTCTGAACGAATATCTCAAAACGAAGCTGAGGACAAGAGATGGCATTCGATTTCTCCCTCCTGTGTAAAATTGATGTTCATCTAATTTGAGTTGGTTTTGGTCGTTGCTGTGAAGAAGTCACAAGCGAAGCCTCCTACGTTGATGTATCAGTTGTTCATTAGTGTTGATATAAGAATGTTTCATCTTTATATTTGATCTTCCTCCCTCTTATTGAGCAATTTCCGCTGCATTTCAATGCCCATGCTCATTCTCACTTATAATGGTATTGCGGTGCTTTTCTGATTGTATTTCTGATATCACATTTTTTACAGCCAAAACCCTAATCATCAAGAAGAATTTTGGCCACCAACACCATTGCATTATTGATTAAAGTAAGTAGAGAACTTGATAAAAATTGCAACCATGTGGAGTCTAATATTTGCTCATGCGATCGACTGACATATAAATTTACCCTCTTAGTTTCAAGATTTGTCAATTTATCCTCAAATACGTTTAAGTCACCTCTTAATTTTCCTGATTACATTATATGAAGGGTGGTCTAAACCAATCGAAGAAATTTGCAGTTACATACGTAAGAAAAACCCAATATTAAAAAAAATTCAAAGAAAAACAAAAGCCTGAAATTCTTATAACCAAATTCTAGCAAGAAAATCCATCTAGGGAACCATTGAGGCAAATTGTTCATGTACCAGAAGTGGACAGGACATTGACAGTTTCAGGTATGAGATAATAATACCTGCTAGTATATTCCTTGGGCAACTTACAAGATCAAGAATTGAATTTTAATTATTAGTAGGGAAAAGCAGGTAACAATTACAACAATACATTTGCAAAAGCTTCTTTTTTTTTTATCTCTACAATCTCTTCAAGCTCTTCTTCCTTGCATCGACCACCTTCTTCCTATCTGCTTGAGGTTTTGCAGCAACTACAGCTCCTTTCTTCTGAGCTGCCACCACTGATGGCCCAACAGCTGTCTCCGCAATAGGAGCAACTGTGTTCTGATCTTGCTCGGTTAGGCCCGGTCCTCTAGATAACGGTGTGGGCAGCAGCAGCACTTTGCCACTTTGAACAAGGTTTGCCTGATTGGCATTAAAAGCAGTAGTTGACTCTGATATCGTACCCGTCTTGGATTTCGGCTTCTTCAGGGCATGAATCCCAGTATATAATCTGAAAAGGAGAACAGAATGTTTGAAGCCAACCATTGATTTTTTCATGTTTCATTCGAATCATCAACAATGTGCATACAACATGCATATTTCATCCATGTCATCAATAACGTGAATTTATATAACGTGCACATAAATTATGAATAGCGACGTGCACATTGCATAAAAAGAAGATAAATGTATTCTATTTTTTTATTTTTTTTTACTTTAGACAAGTTATCTCTTCATTTTCACTTAAATTTCCCCTCAGGCGTTATTATTCATTGTACGGTTGTATTTTTTTGAACTTCTGCAAACAGAAATCAAGTGTTCAAACTTAAGACAACGTATGCAAGGTGCTCACACAAAACATGGACATAGTTCAATCTGATGCTCAAAAGTTACATTGCTTACGAAAAATTATGAGATATTAACTGCATAATTTACTAAATAAACTAAAAGTCAATTTTCTGTCCTTGCACATTGCTTACTGACCTTGCATGCCTAGCATACTCATCGTAATCTTCAAGCAACATTTTACCAGCCTGCTCATTGAGTGCAGACTCAGGGAATGGTTCTATCATTAGGCACCGGACAACCTGTCATCAGGGTTACACAGAATAATTAGGTCAAAGATTACATCTCAGGGAAGTAGAGGCATCTAAGTTGGTGATTGAACTAAAGATGAAAATTTTGCGTTTTAGAGTGAAAATCATAAATTTTAAAATTATATCAATGAAAATTTAAAAATGAGATTTAAATTTCAAATATAAAAATATGCATTCGTTCTTTTCTGTTAAGGAAAAGGAGAAAGAATGATTAACCCACCAGAAAAGAACGTTACCACTCATTAAAAAAATTAACAGTTAAGTTGTCCACATAAGGGGATATACAAGTCATAGTTGATGACTGCTCAAAATACAAAGAAACAATGCAACCACAGAACCCACAGAAATTTGTAACATTTTAAAATATCTGAAAACTGTATTGATCTCCAATACACTAACAGAGTGCACATTGCAATAGAATATATATTCTTCATTACAAGAAAAGGGAAAAAAGGAGCGTTAACTCACAATCAGAACATGTCGCAATCCAAGAGTGGGATTCCAATCCTTCTTCAAAGTATTAACACAAATCTCACCATTTGTCGCAACATTTGGATGAAAGATTTTAGTCAAAAAGTAACCTGCACAGATAAAGGTTACAGATAATCTAAAAAAATAAATAGAAGCAGATTAGTTTCACGCAACTGAAAAAAGGACAGCCAGGTGCACAAAGTTCTTGCTATGTGCAGGGTCTGGGGATAAACTGCACACAGCTGCATGGCTATAATCTACTAGACCTTTGGGAGGCGACTGAGGGAAGTCACAGGATAACAACAATTTCATACGGAACGTGCCATTCTCATATGGAGTTCCAGCTGCATTAAAAGAAAGATATCATGACGTTACTTTCAGTCAGAAGGAATGGCCAATTTGTGCGACCAATTATGGTAATCATCTACCTGGGCCCTCAATATCAGCATATATAATGGAAAAATCATCATCATTAACAACCACTCTAATGCCTTCTGGTGGAGAATCATCAAGACTTTTCAGTTCCTTAGCAAGCTGTTTAATGACATTGGGGGGAAGGTTCTCATTGGTTGCCTGCGGAAATTACTCCATCATTAAATGTTGTGAAGGAATGTAGCCAAAAATACCATTTAGCATGATCAGAATATTTTAACCGTAAAATCGTAGCATTTCATATTGCATAATTACCATATATGTCTGACAGAAATTGCTAGGGGTAACGATATGGCGAGCCCTAAGATGCTACCAACAGACTATATAGCACTTCGATCCACTGGTACTACTCAATGCTTTGATTTGTTCAGATCCACCAGATAAAAAGTTCTGCAAAAGTGTCAGGTGAACAAAAGATCCACTTTAGCTCACAAAGTTCTGGATAAATATTGAATCATGTAAACTAGCTGAACCATGGAAAGTAACAGAACTTGTAACTGTCAGATAATAAATGTAGGGAACTGAGCGCTTAGATACATTTAGATACACCTGGTATAAGTTCCTCAAATGTCTCAGGTGACAAAATTCAACTTCAGCTCAAAAATAACATGATAAATTTTGAATTATAATAGAAAATTGGCAGCAGCAGCAGCAGCAGCATGGAAAATAATAAGAGTGGTAGTCTTCACATAATACTACAGGGAACTCAAGGTTTAGAAATGTTTAGATCCACCTGGTATAGTTGTTAATATGTCAACTGACAAAATTCAACTTCAGCTCAGAAATGTCTGAATAAAATTTGAATTTATAAAAGACTATTGGGAGATGCATCATGGAAAATGACAAGACTGATAATTCAAATGATAATGGTAGGGAACTCTTGAATAGAAAAGATGAGAGAGAATAGAAACCCTAACCCAGGATGGAATACTTGAGCACTGCTATCCCTGAATCTCAAAGAAATACGGAACATCTAGAAAAATACTTTGCAGGTCCTTCTGTTTACGCTTCTACCATCTACCAACTTCCAGGTTGCATATTCACTCAGACAAGCCTCAATGTAGAACATTATTAGATGTGAAACCCTTGAATCCTTGATTGTGAATTCCAACCACAGACTTTTCCCAAAATATTTCTAAAACTACCTTAGGGAGATACAGCTATATTTCCCTTAAAATTTTGAAATTTCCAAGACATGGTCTTTTTCCTATTTAAACACAGGAAAGGGACCTTTCTAATAATGCAGAACATTATTAGATGTGAAACCCTTGAATCCTTGATTGTGAATTCCAACCACAAACTACCTTACGGAGATACAGCCATATTTTCCTTGAAAAGTTGAAATTTCCAAGACATGGTCTTTTTCCTATTTAAACACAGGAAAGGGACCTTTTCTTATCAACTTAACGCACTTAAGATTGATGATGGATAAACAAGTGCCACATTACAGGAGGGATGAAGGACACATCCCATACCCAGGGGGATTCATTTCTTGAATCTATGGAGACCATCTAAGTTATCTGTTGAAGACACATTTAAAAATTGACACGTATGAATACGGTGGCATAGTAACATTTTTCTTGAATCTATGGAGGCCATCTAAGTTATCTGTTGGAGGCACATATAGAAATTGACACGTATGAATACAGTGGCATAGCAACATTTTCTAATTTGCATTTATTTACATACTTCCTTGTACATGCTATTGAATCTGTTTTCAAAAATTAAATTGGTTTGGAAATTAAATTTTATTTATTAACCGACGTTCATGACAACAATTGCACATGTCTAATTTCTTTAAATGCAATAAACATGCTTGGTCCGCTAGCGATAGATGCCATACTCCTTGAGTGTTTTAATTCGCTAGTGCCTGACAAAACATTCAGATTCATAATAGCATTGAAGTGCTCAGCTTACGGAACAACCCGTACTATTCTTCAAGGGACAGAAATTTATTGGAAACAGAAACCAGTTTTGCACATGTCTTAATGTTACACAAAGAAGCTCCAAATTTGTTCACATTTTTATACTACGTTTAATTGCTAAGAAGAAGAATGGTAGGCTTAGCAAGTGATAAACCTTCCGCACACATGTTACGGATGTTTTTGCTCTAACCTGTGCAGCAGCATTTGCAGTGACACATGGTGCTCTAGCGAAAAGGTATAGATTTGAGGCAAGGTAGTTCAAATTTGTTTTGTCAATTTTCAAACCCACCAGGCCACCACATACTATAAACTCAAAAGCTATATAACCCGCAACTCATTTATCTAAATAGAGGCATAGATGGTAAGAAAACCATAAGTTCTACTTCCATCTACTATTTTTCTACTACATTTCGCCCTCCTCTCTATGACACTAACTTAAGCATCGGGGCTCCTCACCTAGTTTCTGCTCGAAACAGCATTGCAACGGCAAGGTAAAGGCAAAATTAAAGTTGCCTCAACAAAGATCAAGACTACAGTAACAAGTAATCATCTTAGGGGGGAGAAAAGATCAAACTTTTGCATCAAAGATTACCATTTAAACAAACAAGATCAGATCTTTAAGCACTAGACCACCTCCAATCAAAGCCCAGAAGGCCAACACAAGATAAAAACTGAACATTCCTAATATAAATCGAATCTTGGACCCGCATCTAAATAATAATGTATGAAAAATACGAAAAGCAGTAAATTTGGTCATCAATGTATCAATGTGATCTAAAATTATAAGAAACTACATTAATTTTGATCATTTAAGGAGAGATAAAGGGAGTGATCGTTCACCAGAGAGTTTCGAGCCCTGAAAATTTTCAAGAGAGATTTCGGGAAATCTCCAGATTTAGAGAGGAGAAATACGTGGCCGTGTTCCACGAGACGAGTACATATACTTCTTGGTGTGAATCAAATCAACCACTTGCTCTTGAAAATTATATGACTAAAATATCCTTTACACGTCGTGGCTCAGTTTGTGTTGCCAGCTGTAAATTGCAGAATTTAGAGGGTACTTTTGTAAGAGCAAGCTGAATTGACGGGAATGTCCCTGAGAATGAGCCGTTTGACTTCAAACGTCATTTGTCGGGCGGCGGGCCCACAAGGGCCGGTGGAGCGTCGGTCCAGTAGCTAGCCGTTGCCGTTTCCAGCTGGCAGCATAATCTGACGGCTGGGATTCAATGGATTAGAATATTTTGTAGATCTGTTCGTTTATGTATTTTTTATCTGAATCATCGAAATTGTTATTTAATCCCTTTAATTCATATAAACTACGCCAGAGGTCTCTTTAATCCCTTTTTTTTACTTTGATTGAGTTAGAGACTAATTTAACATGATAAATTACTATTTTAACCACAATCCATTCATTCTCTCCCAAAATCACAAATTTCCCTCCCTTTGGTTAGGGAAAAAGGCGAGCGTCGAGGAGAAAAGAAAGAAGTTTGGGTTTATATGTAAATGAGTTTGAGTTTGGTTCTTAGGGCCTGTTTGGTTCGTTTCTCGTGTATTGGAAAATGCAATTCTATGTAAAGAAACCCAAGTTTTGGGTTTTCCAATCAATAAATTGTTTGGGTTTGTTTCACACATAATACATGATGGGAAACCAATGTATACATTTTTCTTGTGTTTGGTTGGCATCAAAAAAGGGGAAAAACTTTTAGGGGTTGTTTGTTTTGCTTCTTTTGCTGTCAGTTTTGGCAGGGAATCAGGGGCAAAAGAAACCAACCAAACAGCCCCTTACTGATTAAACATTTCCCACTTTTCTTGTATTTGGTTGATATTGTAACAATTGTAAGTTTACTACTCAGTAAAGACAAATTTGTTTGTGATCGTTAATAGAGGTAATCTTACCAAAAATAAAAGTGCAAATATAACATGAAAAACCAGTAAATAGCCAAATCCATCATAAATATCTGATAAACATAAAAAATCAAAAGAAACATGTAATAACATGATTAATTTAACTGTTATGAACTACGTACCTGATTTGATATGAAAAATACATATTTGAAAGGAAAAAATCATATGAAACCTATAATAACATGATTATTCATAAATTTATGAAATACGCACCTGAATTAGCAAAAATTTCTTATGAGACCTGTAAAAACCTATAATCAACCTGATTAGTCATAATTATTTATATGACATGGAAAATTGCATCAAACCTGAAAATATCATACAAGTAGATAATTAGGGACTGTACTACAAGAAACAAAATCAGTTAGATTTCAAAACCATGAGCGCTACAAAATCATGGGCAAAACCAACAGAAAATTTACTGATCCAAATTAATATTGTCAGATTCAACACCCAACAACCAAGTAAATGTACCACTCCATATACATCTATAAAACGCAATGTTTGCATACAAAATGTTAATCAAGGAAAAAATATGAGTAAGAAAAGTAAAGATATTGGTGAATCTTCATCTGCACCATCAGCAAAGATAAGAATATTTAAAAAAAATTATGATAAAAATAGAGTTGTTTATTTTAAAATGTCAATTTACTATATTTTTTATCAGCGTGGAAGGATTAGTAAACCTAAACAAACCTTTGAAGAATGGATTGCCTATATGGATGAAGATCGAGAGCAAGATGAGATGTGGGATATCATGGAATTAGCAGAAATTATGCTAAGAGTTAATGCTGTAAAAATTATAGACGGAAACGGAAATTGGAAGTGTCCTTACTGCAAAGATATACCCAACATGTACTGGAACAAAAATCAAATCCTAACACCCGCGCGTGATGTTGGTTACAATAAAACTATTGGCAATATGAGTAAGGATTGTATTAAAGAGCATCGTGGACTAGAAATCTATTTATAATCGCTAAAATGAAAGCAATGACATGTACTACTTTGCTACTATCATGTACTACTATGCTATTTTATGCATGTTTTAATTTGAATGAACTTCATGACTAAAAAATCATGTGAAAATGTTTGTTGATATCATATTAAATATACCATCCACATATTTATGAATTCTATGGCTGAGGGCTCAAAACTTAGTCAATATCATCATTGTTAGCCATCAAATACAATACCAATAAACATTGAAGGTTGCTAATCTCAGACTATTTGACAATCATCATAGACTAAAAGTAAAAAGTCACCAACTAAAACTCACAACATAACAATATTTTCATTAATAACTCACAGTAGTAGTCATCCAATACAATGTAGATACATTGTAGGTTGCTTACATACAATTTTTTTAGTTGTCATGTATATGGTGACTTATAAAGTTCCTACAAACACAAGTTCAATGTAAAATTAGTCTTCTACAATCATCACATAATGTTGGTAAATATGCACATGAAACCATAGGTTTATAGTTGAAGCACAACTATTCTACAATCATCACATAATGTTGGTAAATATGCACATGAAACCATAGGTTTATAGTTGAAGCACAACTAAAATCAAAGTCATACAAATAATTACACATGAAACCATAGGTTTATAGTTGAAGCACAACTAAAATCAAAGTCATACAAATAATTACTACCTATTACAATAATATGTTCCATCATCATAATGTTCCACATGCACATAAAATTGAAATAAGTAATATGGCTAGTAAGTACGACAAAAATAGATATAAACATATCAAACATCATTCACAAAATCATAATTAAGAAATAGCAAAAAACACCAAACAAAATTATAATCCTGCTATTTTCGTTTCACTAACTCAAATCATACAAAATTAAAACTAAAAGAAATACTAGTTACATATGTTCTGTTTGTAGGTTTGCATTCTTCATATTGACTAGTCTTTCAATATTTCTATGTAACACTTGCATATGTTCTGTTTGTGCAAGCTATGTTCAGGACACAAAACATGTATTCTTATGCTACTTTGTTCAAAATTGAAGCTTCCTCGTCTCTAGATTATCTTGCAATGTCTCATTTCTTCATTTTTGTTACCTCAATCCTTCAAACATGCATTCAAGAATCATAAATGTGCAGATGTAGACATTTTCAATCTCACAAACGTAAGACTTGAACACAACAGTTAGAAACATGTAAAATGTTTATAGGCCAAAGTCAAACTAACCGCAAGATACATTAACGGTTCTGTCTTCCAAGAGTTTAAACTCTATCCAATAATAGCTATTATTTGATGTAGGCGTAAACCTGTATCAGACATGGACATTAATTTTGTCTGGCATATTTGTCTTAGCTTGCACATTGTGGGAGCAACTGCAGAAGGCAAATATGTACCTATTTTCTTACTAAAAACTGGAAGAACCTAGTCAATAATAAGGATATTTGCATTTAAAACATTTGAGAGAAGGAAATGTTTGCAGTTTCCCATTGTTTGTTTACTTGCTAATCTTTTTGTGAAGCACGTGACCATGATGTGATCAGGAGATCACATGAGCGTTTAAAGTTTCGTGTGGAGGCCACTGACGCATGATTTACAGCCTCCCACACCCGATTGCTAACAGACCGGCCCACCCGCATATTGAAGCTATATAAATAGCTGATTAATCAGCTATTAGAGTAGGCAAGCAAGGGCGGCTTTGTGAAAGGTAAGAACTGCAGAAGAAAAAAGCGGCGGCTGCAGGTGTGTGCGGCTCGTGCAAAGGAAGAAAAAGTGCAGCGTGCAGAGTATTTTTGGTGGTTATTCACAGAGAAAAATAGAGTTGTGAGGGATTTGAGAGTTTGTTTGAGGGTTTAGTTTGAGAGTGATTGTAAACCTTATTTGTAATCTCTCCCTCTATTAGTAGATCTCCCCCTCCTTGCCCCGTGGACGTAGGCTATTTGCCGAACCACGTAAAAGTTGTGTTCTTGCTGTGATTTGTAATAGCTTGTAGGATCCCTCGACAGGTCAGTCCTAGAACTGATGAGAGGAAGAGCCGATATCTCACTTTGTTGAGATATCCGCTTCAGATTCCTGTTTCCTTGGTGAGACATGAATTCTTACGATCTAATCTCTTGTTGTGCACCTTGCGCACCGGAGGTGCTGCTGAAATTTCCGCTGCGCACAACAAGTGGTATCAGAGCTCTGGGTTGGATTTGAGAGCTTGTTCGAAGGATTCGCTGAAGGATTCCTATTTGAAGAATTAGATCGATAACATGGGAGAAACAAGCACATCGGGATCGTCTCTTTCGAAGGCGATACAGAGTCTGAGCATCAATAATACAAAAATTAATGTTCCAAAGTTTGACGGCAAGATCAATTTCGGTTTGTGGAGGTGTCAGGTGATGGACGCCTTGGATGCACAAAATTTGAAGGAGACTCTTGAGTTACAAGAGAAACCCGCTGATATGGAGGACAATGTTTGGAAGAAAATGAATAGTAGGGCTTGTGGAGTTATTCGGTCATGCTTGACGCCGGATCTTATTTATGACTGTATGTAGAGAAAATTGCAAAGAAGAGAATAAAGAAAATGTGACTTTGATTCCTTTGATCTCGGTTACAACTTGATTACAAAAGAGAGGAAAACGAATTTGGTTTTCCCCTTTGTTTAAAACTGAGTTCTTCTTGGCAGCGATGGAGTGCTTCCTTCGATTGATTGCGTCGAACTTGCTCTCCGTTGACGATCCGACCGTCTTTATCTCGTGGGAACGATGAACTTTCGTGGAAAGTTTTATGAATAACTCTGAATGAGTTTAAGAACTCTGAACGAGTTTGAACTCTGTGAATAGAGTTGTTGGAACCGAAAATTCGGTTAATAATCAAGCTGTTTTTCTGTTGTTGAAGGATTCTCTCAGATTTGATTTTCTGAGGTTGGTTCAAAAATCCTATCTCCAAGGATTTCGTTGCTGTTGTTGCCGAATCTCCAAACCTGAGTGGTTTTGATGATGAAGAATCCAACCCTTGATCTGATTATCAAAAATCCGATCCCTTCTTAGGATTGAGACGCGAGGTTGGGTGTTAGCTGAACACCATTGAACGCGAGGGTCGCTCGCGTTTAGCTTG